GGGGGGAGTGGGGGGGGGGGTTGACTCATGGCCAGGTGACCCAAGCTGTATATTTCTGTCTGCAACTAGCCCTGCCTAATCTGAAGTACTAGACAAAAGGGTCCAAGCAGAATATAGTGTCTGAAACCTGATCTGCTCGTTTTGGCTGGGATAGAATCAATTTTCTTCATAGCAGCTAGTACGGGGCTATGTTTTGGATTTGTTCTGAAAACAGTGTTGATAATACCAAGATGTTTTTGTTACTGCTGACCAGTGCTTACACAGAGTCAAGGTCTTTTCTGCTTCTCACACCACTCCACCAGTGAGTAGGCCGGGGAGGCACAAGAAGTTTGGAGGGGACACAGGTGGGACAGCTGACCCCAGCTGACCAAAAGGATATTCCAGACCATATGATGTCATGCTCAGCATATAAAGCTGGGGGAAGAAGGAGGAAGGGGGGGACGTTCAGAGTGATGGCATTTGTCTTCCCAAGTAACTGTTAACATGTTATGGAGCCCTGCTTTCCTGGAGATGGCTGAACACCTGCCTACTGATGGGAAGTGGTAAATTAATTCCTTGTCTTGCTTTGCTTGGGTGCACAGCTTTTGCTTTACCTATTAAACTGTCTTTATCTCAGCCCACGAGTTTTCTCACTTTTACCCTTCTGATTCTCTCCCCCATCCCACTGTAAGGGAGGTGAATGACCAGCTGCGTGGTGCTTAGTTGCCGGCTGGGGTTAAACCACAACACCTGACTAATCAGAAAACTACTAGAATTATTTCAAAATACTCAGAATTACATCCTGATAGAGAAGACATCAAGCTTAAAATACTTGTCAATAACACATATCCAGTGTTAGAGTTTAACCACTCCATTGTCTCTGTTCCCTTCTTTCAGCATAGCCCTTAGCATATAAGTAAATAAAGCCAGTAGCATCTGTAGCATATGGGAAAATTCAAGTAGTTATTACTGACCCCTGTGACTCTAAGAACACCTTCCATGCCAGAAAATAATAGATAAAGGGCTCCAGCCATAACTACTTTGTGAAGAGTAACTCCAAGGCGAGGCCTGTAGGAAAAAGTGAAATTTAGATTAAGTGGGGGAGGAAAAAAAAAAAAGTGAAATCATGTCAACTTGAGTCTAATGTAAGGCATGAAGCATGTGAATAAAAGGTCCTTGTGACAAGCCACATCTAGATCCAGAAAGAATTTTATTATGGCGCTCGAAGCTTACTATTCATTTGGTCTTACGGTATGATATGACTAAGGAAGAGATTGGTAACAGTCCTGTTTCCTAGTTAACCTGTTTAGCTTTTTACGACCATTTCAAGTTTCGGTCCACCTCTTCTTCACTAGTTCCCCCAGCACACCCACACTTGCTAGAAGCTTCCACAACCACGCAGCATGTTTTACCACTGAATACAGCTGGGGACAGATAGGTGAGCAGCAATCTTGGTAGCAAAAGCCTCCTAAAGCTCCCCTCTCCTGTCAGTGATTCTTGACCTTCCCCATTTCTACAAGCTCCTCCTTGCCCAGAAGGCAGGCATATAAAGCTCCCATTCCAGTCTGTGGAGTATCTCAACAGTGACTCAGAAACTTACCCAATAGTGGTACACAGAAAGGGATGGGAGAAGAGTAATCACCATATGGAACTGTATGTCTCTGTTGACTAGTTAAGTCTAGACCTTTTACAGCACTTAACTAAAGCTCCTACCTTTTAAGTAGCGAAGTACAGGGAGATGAATACTGCCCTAAGTTATTAGAAACCAACAGTGAAAAGCCTTTTAATAGAACACCACAAACCTGTAACAGAATTACTCACTTGACTATCCCATATCCCAGGCTGACTATGATGACCAGAGTTCGAGCCAATGAGCGCTTCACAGCAGAAAGCAGTTCTGCCAGTATTACTGCTCCTTGAACTACCAAAAGCAAAGAGGAGGAAGCTGGGTTATTAAAGTAAAATTTGTTTTATTAACTACTGCATGCAATTGTAGTATGAGAGCAGACACAATTGTTTTCAGAAAGTAGGCTATTAAAGTGTATCATCTTTTTATTACCTACATCTGGAGTAAGCTTTCGAAATTATAGGTCACTTAGCATAAAACAAAGCTATTGAAAAATTTTGCATTCATAGGAAGTGGAGAGTAAATGATCCATAAAATGTTTATCCATAAGATCAGCCTGGATGATCTTCCAAACAAGTCAACCAATAAAACCTTCTGTACAATGGATGTGGCCAATTAACAGAGTCATAATGAGGTTTTACTTGCAGTTTTATTTGTGTGCATCCATCCTAAAAAACTCAAAAACAGTCTCCCAAAGTTTTATGTGGAGAGAATCCCTTAATTAGGGATTATCAGGCTATGGGCTGAATACCAAAAGTCATCTGCAATGCTGCCATTTTAAACAAGGAGTTTCAAAGTCTCTTTCCAAGGCCAATACCAATTGTCAGAAACTACAAGATACACTTAGAAGTCCTATTTTAAACTTCAAGGCAGCACTACAGTAAATACTCTCCAGAATCTACCATTTTACATCCCTAAGACACTACACTGAGGAGTCACGAGAAAGCAACAGCATTTTAGCTTTAGAAGAACATAGTTCATATTTAGAATATATTGAAAAAATGCAGAAACTCTGGTTCCCTGTTCTTTGTTTTAAAACAATCCTCAAGTAATCATATACTTAACGTGCATCTGTCACCCCAATTTAGCATAAGCCATCAGTGCTATGCCCCATCAATTAAACTGCAAGCCGCAATTGCTACCTACCAGATTCCCCTGTGTAGCGGATATTCTGGAACTCTGCATAGAAAACTGCTTTCTCGAGCATTCCCAGGAAGATAACAGCACCAATCCAGAACTGGATCCTCAGGAGATCCCGCCAGTAACAGGCTGACCATGCAAGCCATAGAACCCCGAAGAATACGTACACAATACACATCACCATGAAAAACTATTACACAAAAAGAAGCAAGAAATAGGAACCTTAGACTCAGAAAAATAATTTGTTCCATTCCATTCTATCTTCTCCCTGCGTATAGCAACTTTTGAAGTTTTTATATACAAAAGTGACTAGAAACAAGCATTTCTTCATTTGTCTTCTCTGGATTCTTTTACAGTAACAGTCTAATTTCTCACTGCCAATAAAAGGAATCAGAGTAACTGAATTTCTGAGCAATTACTCTCTTGAAGAGCAATCTGCCAATTTATTCACAGGCAACTTTTTTAACGAAGATACCAAATGCTACTAGCTTTCAAAAACTCAAGAGCTCAGGCAAATCATCAAGTACTAGAAACCCCGCCCCTTCTCACATATTCTTCTATTACTAACTTCATCATATATTTACAGTACTCTGCAAATAAACTTACAAGTCACCTTTACACACCATTCCACAGAACAGAGGTAAGCAACCAATGGTTGTAATCCCTCTGTTCAAATAATTTGACAACTTCTCTCAAAAGTTAATTTCCAGAAACCTCAGGTTTTGACCAAGCTTTAGGTCAGCCAAAAATCTGGAATTGAAAAAGAAACCCAGATTCTCATTTAAACATTATCATTCTGCGATATTCCCCCCCTGCCCCAGTCCAGTGTTACTTGCTTCAGAACTTTCAGGGTACATGTCTCCTACGGTAAACAATAAGCTTGACAGTGCTACTCAGTGCTGAATTTTCTAAATGACAGCACCATACCAGAGCACGTTAAGTTTTCAAAAAGGACACTGAGATTAAAAGGCATAAGAAGGAGAGAGTAAGATATTAAATGAATAGCAGGAAGTACTTAGCCAAAGTATAGGACAGTAATAATCAAGCAGTCTCCTCTTACAGAAGGTAGATTTTTTTAAACCAAGCACGCATTGAAGTTAGCTGCACAATCCATTGAAGCCTTCACAAACTGAAAATACCTTGCTTAGTAGAACAGCCTATTGATCCTTACAGATTTTCACATCTGACTAATCCATGCAGTTCAAATGGTAAGGACCTAGGCATGCTAGCTCACATTCAGATGCTCCATTACAGAAACATTTAGACAGAGACTTTTTTCTGGACCTGCCACATGAGGACATTCACACTAGTGAATTACATGTCAATAGAGCTGCTGGAGGTTTTTTATTTCTGCAGGAAGTAAAACATATGTTTCAGAAACGCCATGAGACTTTCCTATTTACAGGCTACTCTTATCAATACAGTCAGGCTAGAGACCTTACTTGTTATTGATCCCCAGCTAAAGTCAGTCTATACTACATAAACATTTAAGTTCTTTTATTTTCTTAGCCTCCTCCACAGAGGCAACTAGCAACCAAGTCAACAATTCCTTTGAATAAAAAGGGGATTAGCTCTTTGTAGTTCAATTATGCTTTCACTGTTAGGCAGTATTAAAGACCTCCTCATGGGGTGGAAGACAGCTGGTGGAGGAAGGAAGATTAAGCTGTAAAAGAACAAAGCAAGCAGTGACAAATGAAAGGGTAGATGTAAACAAAAGCATAGAATAGCAAATTTTCTAAGACATGAGCTAAGGAGAAAAACAGTGTCAGCAGAACTGCTCAGTTTGGAGCTAACGATACCGATAACTTCCGGAACTACAAATTGACAGGCATCAAGTCAAACAATCCAGAGACAGACAACATTAGCAGTATATGCAAACACCTGAACTCTATGTCTGTTTTCTTTACCCTGTATTTAGTACCAAAAAAAACCCCAAAACCAAACTAAAAAACATCCTCTGCTAAATTATTTTTTCTGAGACACTGGCTCTGTGTTTCCCAAAGTATGGAAGGAGAATATTTCAGATTCAAGTCAACTGACTACTTTATACGTCAAAGAAAAGCTATTTTACTTACAATCATCAGAGGATAGTCTGCAAGTGAGAGATACTCATATGGCCCCTTCAGTTCTACTGTCACTGTCAAAAGACAATCCAATAACCAAATTGAACAAGAACCAAAAGGAGGAAGCCAGGATAAAACTTAACTGATTTTTACTCAAGCGTAAAGGAATTCTAAATCTTCACATAGCTTTTAAATCTAACTTGCACTTTAATCAAAGAAAGTTAAGACTCATAACACACTCAGCTAAAAGCATGCAATTAAAATTACATGCTCCATTACCAAGTAACTCACGGCAGTACTTAAAGTAATTTGTGCTGGAGATTCATGTGGAACAGGAAAGTTCAGAAACACACATAAGTTAACTTTTTAAGGGGATTTTCAAACTTCTCTGAGGTTTGGATAGGTTATCAATGCACTGTTAGACATACTATATATAACTTCAAGGTGACAATTATGATCTTTGTATTCTATATGACTTATTAATATAAATAAATTACTGCATCAGTCCAGACATTTTTGAAACACAGCACCAAGCCTCAAAATTGAACTGCTTGGGATTCTTCACTTCCATCATTAAACTGACAGACCAACAGCCTTAGGATCTTCAAGACACTAACAACCACCTATTTTCTTATCATAAGAAAGAGTTGTAGTAGGTAATATTTACATCTATGTGAAGTGAAAGATAAGGTCTTATGAAATTGAACCATACAGTATATATTAAAAGTACCTCAGGATATACTCAAGAGTGGTATACATAAAAAAATGGCACTGTATTTTTAGCTTACTGTATAAACAGCTATCTTACTTGTAAAGGGCTTGTTTTGATCAGGGGAAGGTGGTGTTTTCTCCGTTCTTTTAACTTTGGTAGTAGAATCCTTTCCAGTTGTAATTCCAATTTGCACAATAAATATATATGGCCCATCTCGCCAAGTTTTGATAACAGCATTCATTGCCTGAAAATAAAATGTCTACATGTAGACAGTGCATAGTCAAGAAGACACGAAAAAGACAGAAGTAGACTCACCATGCATGGGTAGTATCTTCCATATGAAAGCAAAGTTTCTCTCTTCCCAGGCCTAAACTTGTTAATAAATATTTGATATGTAAATTTGAATGCTATTTATTAGACATAATACTTAAAATTTAGTTGTTTGAATCCAGAAGAATCCTCAAAGACCTGGGAGGTGATCAGGGCTTATTTGCAAATTTAATACTGGCTTACTGCAAGAGCCATCTCAAAGGTATGGCAAAAACTACAAACAATTCAGCAAAGCCTGCTATTCCTTGTTTTCAGTCTAGAAAAGTTAGGACCATCACTGAGATACTTCTTTCCTCCTGAAATCAATTGTTTGGCAACAGCACGGCTACATATAACTAAGCTCCCTGGTAAAAGCTGAATTTTATAGTGCAAGGCAGAAAAGGTAGCTGAGAAGTAAAAAATTTCCACAGTAGTCATTTCCTGTGGAAACTACTACTGCCCCTGGAACAGCTCTCACACCTATAAGACTCAAATCCCGCTGATGAACTAACAGAGGAAGCTTTCCCAAATAAATATTTGCACCATAAAACAAATCAGAGATTTCTTTTGAGTTCCAGCATACAAAACTGTTAATTCCACAACTGAAGAAGTTCTAGCCATCTCAGAAACCGCAATATTTAGCAAGAGTTTTAAGGTTAAAACTATCTACATGTATGCCACTCACATGACCACTGCAGAACTACCACAAAGACTTTTTTTAACTGTCTCTCCAAGAGAATTTCAGTATTAAGAACATGCATTTCTTTTAAGAAACCTTCTGACTACAAGATCTAAAGCCAATAGAATTTTATGTATCAAAAAAAAATTACAAATTGACTGAAATTAAAAGACTTAGTTAAAAACATAGTAAACTTAAAAGAAAATGGATATATATTTTTATACATCAATTTTGCCTTTAAAATATCTCCATCTCTTGGTGCATTGATTCCTTATTTCACAATTGCACACACAGCTTTAGCTTTAAGGTAGATGGCCCTTAAGTACACAGGCAGTTAAATGTATTTTCTTTGTTGGCATCCAGGACATTCAATTTGAAGTTATTTTGACAATCGTTCCTGGTTAGGGCTTGAACTTAATATATAACAGATTTGAAAATCAAAAAGTAATCACTCAACTTGTTAGGTACAACTTTTTAAAAGACTGACTAAAGATGAAACCAAATGTAATCTCTAAGTATTGGCCACCGCTTAAAACAGATCATATCAATGATTACTTTGAAGTACTATGAAAAAATAAATTTATTTTTTTAATTTATACCATCAGTTTGAATGGTATGAGTTCTATATTTCACATACAGAAGCAGCGGTTACTCTGTTTCTGTTACTGTGCTTTCTGGTTTTCCACACAGTGCTACCTAGTTTCAAGCTAAAAAAAAAAAAAATTCCAGGTGTCAAAAAAACAGAGAATTGCACCATTCCTGTAAATGCTACCAGTAATTTCTTATACAAAGAAATATAAATTAAAAAAAAAACAACAAATTAAGACTGCTGAATTCCAAGCCATGCTTAAATTCAATATACATACAGTTTTATCCGCCACCATTGTATGATTTCCTCCACTCTCCTTCTTATCTTTTAAGCCCTTAAAGAAAAACAGAAAAATGGATAAATCAATATGCCATAACTACCTCTCCCATGCCTACACTCACCCATTAGAAGGAAAAAAATTACCTCTTGTTTTTCAGGTGACAGAGGCTCGGGATGAACAAATTCTTTATAGAAAATCTGCAAGATATAAGAAAGGTACCGCATTTATAGGCACTTTTTATTAATATAACATTACCAGAACAGTTTCCAGTAAACTTGATTATAAGGAAGGATTCTCTGAACAGCTGTACTAAAGAGCTTTCATTTTTCTAAATCAAACAACTGTCCATTTGTAGAGGGAGTCTTGAATACTTAGATTAATACAAGTGGGTACATATTAGAGATCCAGATTTTGCCAACTGTCCCAAACTATGGTGACTTGAAGTCTACTGAAACTGCCACACCACAAGAAAAAAAAAAGCTGAACAATCAAAAGGAGAAATTTCGGTTAAACTTCAGAAATTAGTATCGGAAAGGAATATCTTTTGTTAAAATTTCAGCAGACTTTTCAAAGGAATTGTAGGAAAAGTCACTTAAAGTGTTTTAAAACCCCAGTTTTACCAACCTGAACATTCAGTTAAGATGCCCAAGTTCACATTACACAGCTAAACCCATAAGATCTCTTCTATAAAACCAAGTAAAAGTAGAACTGACACTTGTCATATTATTAAACATGAAAATCAGGCAGCATACAGATTATTTTTTTAAAAAGCCTTTCAAGCCATCTTTGCATATCAAAGGAATTAGAGGCGTGCAAACAGATTATTAAAAACCCTTTTCAAGTCACCTTTAGGCATGTCTTTTTTCTTAAAAAAACCCCAAGCAAACAAAAAAAAAACCCCCAAAACAACACCCCCACTCCCCACCCCCCACACCCCCCCTGCCAACACTAGGTTCCATAGTTACGAGACATTTCTCTATCCACAACCCTTTGTCTAAATCAGGAATAGCTGCATACAGATGCAACACTGCACAATTTGTCTTGACTTGTTAAGTATGCCATTAAAGAAAGACAGCATGTTATACTGATATTGTCATTAGTATGATTGCACAGCTTCACCTGGTGATATACAGCTACTATAGAGCCTATGTTCGCACTTTACTTCCATATGCTGTTTTGCATTGTCTTCTCTCTTCCTAATTTAATTCGCTTCAAACACATTTTAGCACTACTTATTTTTCATCTTTAAGCTGCTATCAGTGCTTAAGTAACCCACTTCTCAACACTCTTTCATTTCCATTATTATAAATGAACATTATCTGAGCAGAAAGTGCCAGTCCTTTATTGACCCAAATTTAGTGGGAGCTTCACTCTGCTGACAGAGATTCACACTTCTACTCAACAGTCAACCAGCAGTAGCCTTCTGTAAGTGAAACGAATTCAGACTACAGAACCACAAACAAAAAGAAGCACTGCATTTTACAGTGGTCTGGGTTTTTTTCCCCATGCTGGGCCAGATGTTGAATAGCAAGCTAAGTCAAGAAATCACGATTGCAGTTGGCTTGTCATAAACAGATAAAAACAAGTACCTTCCAACGTACAGCGATACTGACATAGGATGCTAGCACATCTAACAGGAACTACCACCTTCTCTGTATATTGTATAAGAGAACAGAGAAAACTGTGAAGTTTCTACCCATACCTGAGGCCTGAAGAGCTCGGAGCAATTTGGAAAGAGGAGAGAAGCCGTGGCATAGTATCCTGACCAACCCGGATGCTCTTCAGACGTAGCCCCAAAATAGTACTCTGCCTGTTCATCCTGCCAAACATAGAAGAGAACTTCAGTTAGCATCCAATATACCAAATGGTTTATCTCAGTAGGCAGCTGCAAGACCTGGAGAGCACCATAACTTCCCCCTGCACACACTCTTGAACAGAATTTAATAGGATAAAGGCCATCAAGACCACAAAAGACTATAAAAATGAGGGCCAAAAAAAAAAAAAAAACGAACCACCCCATACAGACTTTGGGTAAGAATCAATACCTAATACATAAATCCTAGTATTCCAGAAGTGGAGGTGCAGCAGCCAGCATAAACTTTAGTCTACACAAAAGAACTCTACATCATTATATGAAAAATTAAAGACCTCAGTACTGTGTTAGGTTAGTAGTTACAACTGTCATAACTCATATTTTAAGTAAACATGGAAAAGGTGTTACAGCATAAACCACAGTTGTGTTCTACCACATTTGATAGAAACACTCTACATTTTGTATAAATTGCTAATACCTGCAATGTGCATCCATAAAGAACACAATTTAGACTAAACTTGAAAATATTAATTTTTTTCTATTTTCTGTCATTAAGTGTTGTTGTAAATAATATTTTCATCTACCATAAACTCACACACTTCAGTTTAGATTCAATGCACTTATTTAAGCTTTTGGGTTTAGAAGAATTCTGACAAACACTTCCACCTTACCCAAAACCCAGAAAAGTCAGTAATTTCAGCAAGCTGTGGATCAACTCCTTTCCATTCCATTCCCAATGATCCAGAAACTTGTTATCTTCCAATGGAGGAGTGCGTCTTTTAGGCCCAAAGAGCAAGAAGGGTGCAAGCAAGACATCTCCAATGCCCTCACCCACATATCTGCTTATCCCTAAAAACCACAACCCATGCTTTTCCACACAGCTCTTACCCCAAAGTTGAAGACTTCATTGTAGCAGTCAGAATATCTTAAGTACCAAGTAACATTGTAACTCTGGGAGGGCTCACAAGCTTTTTCATCCCCTTCAACTAAAAAAAAAAACAGATAAGAGCATATAAGACACCTTCTACCTGACACGCTTTTCCTCCCATTCTGTGCCAAACTATCATAATTAAATTTATTTCAAACGTGAAGCTGAAAGCAAAGCAATAGAAAAACATTTTCCTCAAGTAATCCATTACTGTTCAGTGAAAGAAAGAAGCATGTGGAAAACAGAATTCCACTATAACATTACACAATTCTATTAAAGAGATGAAGATCATTTGGAAACTTCTTGTTCTCAAGACAATCAGAGACGTTTCAGCAACTGCAAATACCAAACAAGAGTACAGCAGTGACTCCCAGTGATTACAATACACAAAAGGAATTCCCTTTCCAAGATACATGGGGGACATAGCTGGTAGAGAGCACTAGGAGCAGGTTAATACTAAGGGCAATTTGCACAGATAATTTAAATATACCAATACCATCACCAAGAAAATAAATAAAAAGGTAAGATTTTTGCAAGTCAACATCTACCACCCCACTCTCAAAAGACAAACAAGCCATCTACACATTAGCTCACTGTCAAAGCTGTAATGCTACCTAAAACAGCAGTAAGACAACTTTCCACTTTGATTTATTAGAGAACAACACGCACGAAAAATGAAACACAAGACTTCCCCTTCCTCCCAACTCAGGAAAGATTGTGTGATTTTTGTGTTTCAAATCTCATTCTGAAACTAAAGCCTGATGAAGAGAATTTGACATTAAGAAGGTAAGCTTCACCGATAAACAAAATGAGCAGTAATTATTCAGAGTCTTGGAAGAGCCATTCATGGCTCTTTAGGTTATATAAACAAGATTATGTTTGGGTTTTGCCAGTCAACAGACAGCAAAACTCTTTCGAGTTGACAGCATGTTCTAGTGGCTAAGAAGTCCCCACACCTTTACAAGCGACATTCATCTCAGACTAGACACCCACAAATTAGTTACATGTACAAAGCTTTTAATGAATGTTTCTGTATTGACCACTGCAGGTAAAAAATGCAATTAGAAAAAAAGACCCTGCCATGGAGTCTTAACTGACTAATCCCAGTTTAAACCATGTGACTACTAAAGCAAGTGCACGTAGAGCTAAAAACTCAACAACTGAGTCTCTAATACCAAAGATTTAAAAAAAACACAAAAGATTGGAATGCAGTCACTGAAGAATAAGTTTCCTTATGACACCTTCCAGTAAGCATGAAAACAAAGCATACGTTCTCCACGTAGCCCTAGATGTTACAGAGGGCACAACAAAGAAATTAAGATGCAAAAGAAGCACTGCAGTGACATGGGTAGATGGCAAATTCTTAGAAGACAAAGAGTCTTCTGATAAAATTGATCAAATGAGGAACATCTCAAAGGAGTGCTACCAAAAAATATGAGGGATTCAAGAAAACCTTTTAGATACCTTTTTACCTATGAAAAAAACCTAAAATTATGGAAATGCTATGTTCAGCAGTAACACCAACTAAAGGTAAAACATGTCATCGCTAGAACAATCCACCAATATCTGCAACCATCAGAGCTACAGAAACCTTGAAAAGGAAGTACTCTAAAAGACAGAAAAGGCACCCATGGCATTTATTGAATTCAGCAACATGGAAATCTAAGTTCCTTAGCCTTCAAACAATACCAGCAACATTCAACTCAAATGCAGTCTTTATACTCGTTTACAAAGAGCAGGCTTTCTAGCATGATCCTAGACAGGAAACCAGATGCCTTCTAGAATAGCACTTAAGAAAAGTCGTGGATAAAAATAAATTCATTATTGACAATAGTAAACACCAGTGGCAGTCTTCCCAGTCAGAAACAGAAAGCATCAGACACCAATACACCTCACACGCAAAAAAAAACCCCAAAAACCAAGAAGGGGAAAGAAAAAGGAAGAGGAGGTAGAGGAGGAGATGCAGGTGCTCACCAAAACATGAACAACCCATGAGCAATCATGTTTGGCAAGAAGGGACACATTGTCCACACAAACATCACAGAACAGATGGAAGAGGCAACAGACAGCAAACAAAAGAGAGGCCAGTTTCCACATGGACACTGGCAGATAAGAAACAGTATGTAAAGTTGAAGCTTCCCAGTATCAGATGCAATTTAAGTATCACCTAGGCTGAGAAACTGAAATTAAGTTCCTAGCCTTTGCTCCTTCCTCTTTCAGTGGTTCGTTATTTAAATTCATGTCAATCTTTTAATCACACTGGTATGTAAAACAGGTGTCTTCACTAAAGACTTTTAAGGCTTGATGCCTGTTTTAAGGCTGACAGCACAGTGTAGTTGAAGTCCACATCACAAGCTAGGGAAGTGAATTCTTACTGCCAGATCTGCCACAAACCTGTCTTGTAAAAAACATACTTTATTTTCTCCATGCCTTAGTTCCTTCCTTCTCTTGGTTATTTCAGCTGTACATCTCATGATTAGACTTAGGACACACTTCACTGCGGGGACCCACATCTTGGATGCCACGTTAGTACGAGCACACTATTTCTATTAAACTTTAGACAAGAAAGCCTAACGCCTACCAAAGCTCCAAATGCCCTTTCAGACCCCTCCTCCTTTTCCCCAAGCATCAGATTTCTACATTTTGATCCTGCAACTGCACACTTGCAATTGCCTTGCTGCAAGACACAAAACTCAGCATTTGAGCTACATTTGACAAGTGGAAAAACCTTAACCCTGACACGATGGACTTTCACTAATAAACACTCTAATACTAGCCTCCTATTTCAGATTCATGTGGAATTAATGGAGGCACTTGAACTAACTCCCTTTCAAAAAACTGTCTCAAGAAGGGCAGGTACCCAAAATTAAACCTGTAAATCAATAAGGTAAGTACTAAACATAATAGAGCACAGCAATATTGCAATTTCATCAAGAAGCATCAGCCAATCCTCATGATAGCTTAATTTTCTCAGTTAAAAAAAAGAGCACAATCACTGCAGAAACTAAGTCTGGATGTGACAAAGATACAGATCCCACTAATTGTCTCTAAAGGGACTTTTATTTCCTCATTTGACACAAGTGCACAAGGCCATTCACAGGCACTGTACCTGGATAACCACCCAATTAGCAGCTGGAGGTCAAACAGCTTCCCCCTTCGATGATAAGAACTGGTGCAAACAACCCCTTAAAGTGCTCAAAATGCACGGAAAATATTTCAAGCCTTTCTCAATCAGCTAGTCACTTCCACAAGTCACCTAGGTCATCCCATTGCTATCTAAATGCTGTCCTCATGTTCACAGATAAGAGGATATTTTACAGAAATTCTCCTTTGAGCAGTAACCTACATAACCCATAGCCCTGGCCAGATCAGCAAAGAGCGATAACCAGAAAGAACAAACGGGAAGGCTGCAAACATGTTTGCTCTGTAGCACAGTCACACAGTGATCAGAAGAAAACAGGTCTCAGGAGAGCTCTGCCACAGTGTGCAATCCCCTTACCACTCCCAGAAGCACCCAGCCAAATGGGACCAGGGCCTCAAAAAGCACTGCTGCTTGCACATTGGCATCAGTCACCCTGCAATACAAATAGCCACTGTCCCACTCAGCACCAAATCTCCCAGCTGGAGCAATTTAGCATATCTTAAATAGGGAAAGCACACCTCACAGTAGGGCTCAGCACATCCCACACTTGATTACCTGCTATCTGAAACAAAGTGGTGCTCACATTGCCCATCTTGCCCTCTCCACAGATGGCCTGAACAGAACAATTCATTTCTGCTACAGCCTAAACAGATCACAATTGGGAAGCTGCAAGCCTGTTAACACACCCAACAATATCAGAGCTATGGCCTTCATCCAGTACTAGATTAGCTGTCACTGCAAACAGTGAAGTTAAACACTTGATGGTGTTTTGAGTCCCAAATGTTAAAGTAGGGGGGATGTCAAACAGCAGAGAGAACAGGTTACTCTCTCGTAACCACTTACATCTCAGGAAAATGGTGGTGTTGCTGAAGAGAATCTTCCCAAAGTTAAACTTCTTCCCCTGCAAAGGCACAAAAAAAGGAAAAGATATTAGTGGGCTTAAGGTCACCAAGCTTAGGTAAACACCATCTTCCTCTCTGAGTTTTAAGTCTACACAGCAATGAAAGCGAATGCCAAATCAGGAGCCAGCCTTACTGGATTTTCCAGTCATGCTTCACCACCCCTTCAACCTACTCTTAAAGATGGCTTGAGACGCTTGGGGCTTTTTGTTCTGCAAAACTGAATCAGCTTCATCGACATTTGTTGAAATGATTGGCATTTTCTTGCTGATGAGAAGGTCTGAACTATCCAACAACAACAAAAAATAATTTGTTCTAAGAATCCACAGGAGTGTTCACCGTGATCCTTTAATTTTGTTCCTGCAGCTCAAGAGGAAGTGTGCATTACCCCCTTCCACAGCCTGGCAAAGGCAGGCTTAACGCGAGGCAAAACAGCTTTCCTCCACGCAACTTCAAACAGAAGAAACGGTACAACAGAAGCGCTGGGAATCCCCTCACCTTCCCAGGGCCCCGCGTCTCTCTCGGTTCGCTGTTTCAGGGGCCCAGCTTTCCCGACGGTGGGGGCCGCCAGCCCAGCCGCAGCGGGTGAGGGGGCCCGCGGGGCGCCCTCTCCCCGCACAGGCCCCACCGAGGCCGGGCCCCAGCCGGGGAAGCCGTCCTCCCTCCCCACGGACCTCGCAGGGGCCACGCTCCCTCCGCCGCCCATCCAGGCCGTTTCCCGCAAAAGCCTTCTCTCCTCTGTCGCCACCGCCGACCTGCCGAAAGGGGCTCAAGCCCGGCAGAGGGCCCGGGCAGCGGGGCGGGAGGCGGGCCGCGGCCCCGCGCCCTCCTACCAGCGCCGGGTGCGGTCAGGCTCCACACAGGCGCGGCCCGAGCCGGGACGGCCCCGGCCGGTCGGCAGAACGGCCGACGGGACGGGCCGCAGCCCTCCCGCGGCGTCCTCTCCCCTCTCCCTCCGCCAGCAAGGAGGACGAGCAGAGCGGCAGCGGCCTCCCGCCCCCGCCACGCACACGTACGCTCCGACCGCC